TGTTTCATAACTGTATCCAGGGAGGTAACCAATACCAATAATGCTTTGCTTGAAATGAAACACAAGTGGTAAATGAATCCGATCTGTAGTTTATTGTTCACAATGTGCACCAAGCACACTTAACGCTATGACAGACCTACCATAGAGACTTACGATATTTTTTAACATGTGTATCACGTGAAATTGTGCCAATGTTCATGATCATTGTGGGGAAGGATAGGTTTCCGGAATTCCATACTCGCAATCTAAAGAGAATCGGATTGGCAGACTCGATGAAATGGCTGCTTGCTTGTTATGAAGTGCTTCTCAGGCTTCCTGATACTGATATGCAAGGATCGTTGAACAGGCTGTCGTGACAGAGCGCAAAATACGCAAAATGTTACAAATTTCTTCTTCAGGGTTTATATCACATAAGAGCATATTACACCGCCTAATAGGATCACTCCCCTCATCCAGCTATAACTTCTGCAACAAATAACAAGACAGTGTGTAAGATATGCTGACAAATGAAGGAACTCGAAATTCAACATATCTTTGAGGTAATGCAAATGTTTATAAGTCATGCAAAGAGATTTTGGTAACACTTTAAAGTTAATATACTAGTCTCTCTTTTGTCTGTTGTACATTTGTTTTGTTATCTATACACTTATTTTCTTTACTGTTTTCCCTGTACATGTGTATATGATTTACTGTACAAGCTTTTGTAAATACCATGGAGAGGGACTTCTAAGTTGGATAACTTGTTCCCAATCCATTTCAATCTGAATAAAATATGTTTAAACTAAATTAAGGAACACAATAAATGTGTTAAACGTAAAATCAGATTCTGTCTCTTCAGAAGGCCCATTCATTTCATGCTGGTTTTCTCCAAATCGTAACGACTCTTCTTTTCTCGGGTCGTTCTCCATGGAGCGTACCCATGGTGTGCTTCTGTTTGGTAGCATGTACCAAGGTATGCTCATGGCGTCCGTCTCATTCTGTGATGGCAATGTACAGTTCGGTTTCTAATCTGGAACCAGGAATAGCCTCTCGTCTGATTTCTGCGAATAATATCAAACATCCCTGTGATTAACTTTAAGATTATTCCTCACTGGTTGCATACATTACCTACATACAAGTGACTGCCTTTGGCTCAGTGAGTAAAGTACAATTATGCTATTATGACTGTTGTTGTTCCTCATTGCATATATGACGTTCCCTATCAAACCTAATTATTTGGATCAGGATCTATGAATGGTTAAACTTGACGTTAAAGATATATTTATCAATTCTTTTGATGGGTTGTTTCGGAAACGTCGCCAAAATCTGGGAATCATGCATGTCATTTCCTACTGCACATTTGATCATGTGTAAAATGAATACGACATCACCACGATAAACCTGAACCATTTCCAGAGTTGGTAAATATATATCAAACACGCCAATATCGGGTTAGAGTTGTTTTTAGTTGTGACTGGTCAATGCGTAGTTTAGCACTCAGCATTATTCCAGCTACATTTATATGACGGCGGTCTGTAAATAATCGAACCTGGATCAGACAAACCAGTGAGTGATATTATGAGCCCCAAGTGGACCTTTGCTAACTCGAAATCTCTACAACCGGGGTGATTCAGATACTCTGGCGATCATTTCACTGGGAATCGCAACGGCTTGAAATGAATTACATGCACAGGATTTCCATAAACATAAACTTTAATTGAATTTTTGGTGAGAAGTTAAGAAAAATACATAAAACAGATATGAAGACAATATGCTTTGTACATTGTGTATCTGCATAGTGAATTGATGATAATCACAAAAACCTGTCAGTCATCAATATAATTTTTTCAAAACAAACGATTAAAGTTACATAACATACTGGATACAAACAAATAAAACAACATTGAACACGTCTGGAAATGACAAACCAACCTTGTGATGGGGCAATTGGATCTGTCTGTACATGGTCATAAATATTAAAAGTAAAGTCAATTCCCACTTTTGTTCACATGTTCACATGTCTTAGTATTGACGAGTGTCTCCACCATATAAAATAAGACCCGTGAAGATCCGAGGTAGAATAGGTCTTCAGCAACCCATGCATGCCGTAAAAGGCGACTATGCCGTAAGAGGCGACTAAAGGGATTGGGTGGTCAGGCTCGCTGACTTGGTTGATGCACTGGTCTGGTCCAGACTCGATCATGTACAGACCGCCGTCATATAGCTGTAATATTGCTGAGTACGGCGTTAAACAACTAAGAAACACATATCATAATTATAATATGACATGGTTATTCAACGTGTTGTTGATCAGATGAACTGTTTTATTGTACGTTCATCACAAACAAAAACGGAACCATTTCTATCGGCATACACCCCAACAGGGTCGTTGATCCCATCCTCTGTTGCAATGAGTTCTCGTACAAACTGGCCAGGTGCGGCAAGCTGAATTATGGTGGTTGTGTCCCTGTCTGCAAGGAGGATATCGCCTTCGTTGGTAGTTGTAATACCACTAGGGTAACTGAGAGATCGATCCCCCTTGGGGACGTATCTCCACACAACATCCCCCTCTGACGTCAGACAAGTTACTGATCCCTTGTCCCAGTCAGAAACAAGAACCTGGCCGCTGTTGTTCACACAGATGTAGTTTGGGTAACTGAACAGGTCCACGTCATTGTGGGCAGTGAATGATCGGATGGCCTTACCAGTCATGTCTAATATATCAATACAGCTGTAGGAACTTGCTGCGAATGATGACGAGTTCAGAACAGCAATACTGTAGTACTCTTTCTGTGTTGTAATGGTTGTCTCCAGTTCGAGGTCAGGAGTTACGGATGCCGTTACAATTTGAAAACTCTTAGGAACAGCTACCAAAACCCGATTGTCACTAAGTTGGGATACACCATGCGTAAAATTATCAAAATCGAGTTTACTGAGACATGGCTGATCGTCACGTGTGTAGGCAGATTTCACACACTTGTTGTTTCTGTCTGAAGCCTCTAATGTCAGTACATGTATATCCCCCACAAACAGAACCGTCACCTCACTCAGCCATGGACATTTTTCATCAGTCTCTCGCTTGAAGTCCACTGTTTTATACAGGAAAAGTGATGACATGGCATCGGTCTCACCCTGTGTGTATGTGATGTCCAGCTTCCCTAGTTTCAAGTCGTCAAGAATGCGCTCACTGGTATCAGATTCTGGTACAAATCTGACGCTATGTATTTGTTTTCGTTCTGATTTGCCTGTTTCTTGTACCCTGTCCTCTTCCGCCCCTGACTCCCAGGCCTCACAAGCTTTATACAGGTCCATCTCACTGTCCGAGACAAGGGTCTGGTCAATGAACTCGCCATGTTGTTTGTACATTTGCAACTCAATCTCTGCCTGTTTCACATCAGCCTGTAACTCAGTGATCTGTGTGTCTGCAATGTCATCCAGGTCTTTTATGAGTGCCGTTTCCTTCTCCTTCAAACGGGCGATGATCTTCTCTGTTGATGACTGAATCTTTTTTGTTGCCAAAAGTTTAGCTCTTTTCATCTTGTTAATTTTCGATTTGCATTTGTCGATCTGTTTCGATATGTCATTAAGATCACTTTGTATGGTGAGGCCTTTGGTGCGCAGAGATGACTTCATCCGTGACATCTGGGATTCTAGTGTGACAACAGAATCGCACTTCCTGTGGTAGACCACGGAGCATGACTGACACAGTGGCTTGTTGCAGTCTTTACAGAGATATTTCACTTGCTCATCTCTGTGCTCTTGACACATAAGCACTCGTTTCTTTTTCTTCAGTTCCACCTCACCAGACCGATCACACATTTCATGGCTCCGAGAAGCTGGATTTGCACGATGCATCTTGACACATCTGTCACAGAGAGCTACCTCACACTCATGGCACCAGAAGGTCACCTGAGTTGTCTCCCCAAGCTGTTCACACACAGGATAATTCTGGGAGTTTGTATCTGTATCTGTCAAGAGAATATAGACTGTAATTATAGAGGGGTTTAACAATCTTTACCATGTCTGTGCTAAACGTATGTATAAACACCTTTCGAGTTACAAAAGGGACACTGGGTGGCTCGGGACAGTTTTACAATGTTTTTGTTATATCGTGGGTTCGAATCTCAGATTAATCTGATTAGTTGTTTGGTCAGCACCATAGCCTTTCTGGTGGGTTCTGCCAAATTTAATTAGTAAATGTCCAAGACATGCATCATACAAAGCCAGACAATCCGGAATGAAATAGAAATACTGTTCAAAACGGAGTTACACACAAATCACTCAGTTAAGAAAAACCTCGCCGCTCTCCATTATTTTAAGCGAAAGCATACCGATCAAACATGACACATGTTTGATTTCACACATGGGGTGTGAGATGTGTTTATGACAGTGATATTACTGCGAAACAGATGTAAGCAGCACATCCCCACTCAGTCATTATCACAAGTTCATGTTGATCACTCTGTGCCGTCATGTGGACGGTTAGGTTATCTGGTGGCTAACACGTTCCATCACTCGGTAAACCTCCGGGTTCAAATCTCCAGAAGACCGCCTCCGTGGTCTAGTGGTAAAGCGTCCGCCCGCAGAGCGGAAGGTCCGGGGTTCGATCCCCGGCCGCGTCATACCAAAATACGTTAAAAGATGGTACTTGTTGTTACCCTGCCTTGTGCTCGGCATTAAGGGGCTAAAACAAGGACAGGTCGGCTCTTAGTCAGTATACTGTGTCAGAGTGGGGTATTTATGTGAAACTGCGGCAGTTGACTAGCACTATGAAATCAGCATTAGCCCGGACTAGTACAAACAGCCACATACACACGTAAATGCACATTGATCTATAAGAGCGTCGTTTAACCCCATTTCACCTCACCTCACGTTTTGTATCGAGCGTTTTATAAAATATTCTGATCTGTCATATTTTTCCTCTCTCAAAACGAAGATTGTGATGAGGAAGTTAATATCAATTCAAAAGCCCACATCACATACATTTAACTTCCTTAATTTCTTAACAGTATAAACTTCAACATTGGCAAAAGTAAGGCTATGGATATGGTGCACAAGAGACGCTGTGTGAAGCAAACACGCTCCTAAACTGCCTCTATGTGAAAACAACAGGGTAAGTTTAAAGATAAACGCACTTAAGATTGTTCATTACTCCTCAAGCGAACTATGTGATAAGTATGCTTGCAGTTGGTTTGAAACAACGTAAGTCCTGGGACACCAGTGTTGCTGAATGTCTACTTGTTATGTTATTGTATTTTTATTGCTTGTGTATACTTATTTTTAAACTCCTTCGGGTTTTAGTTACCTTCATTATTAGTACTGAGCATTTTATTTAATACTGGATTTTCCTTTGTATGGATCACACAAGACACTGGTAATGAAAAACTATTTTTCCATACATTTAAACAAAGATTATTTGATATATTTCAGCAAAACTAGCACCAACAAGTTTCCTCTTCACACTTTCTCAAGCATTATGCTAGCATCAAATCAGTATTACAACTAGAAACATATTTAAGTATATTACAAGGTAAAGCTCTAATGAGAGCTCTTTGTAAATTTAGAATATTTCTCCATGAATTCCTTGTCAATAAATATCGTAGAACCAAGGATAGTGATTTTGTAAATTGTATATGTACTTCCTGTACCAACCAGGACATTATCGACGAGTTTCTGCCTGTATTAGTACGGACAAGTTAGAACCAGCCCTGCTAGCTTGCTTCTATTCGCCTGTTTAGACGCATTCACACTGTGAGTTTTACTTCCAACTGTTTATGAAAGCCTTAATGCTTTAGCTTGGCTGATTTTTATCCAGTGTTAAGTTAACAAATCCGTATATATGTCAATGCGCCTAAATGCAGTATATATTATACATATGATGTATTCCTGTGACCAGGTTTGAATCATCTGTCTTTGATGTCATTGGTCCCAAAACGTTTTGAGCAATTAGGATTTGTTAAGGCTGTGTGCATAACGTGTCGCAGCTACAGTGGTGTGTGCATTTCGGAACTATGCCTGTTGCTCACATCATTACCACGTCAAGTCTTCGAACTGGAGATTAAGTTATTTTAAACAATTGCTTGATGATGCTCCTGGACACGACGAGTCCTGACATATGCCTTTGTAGCTGGACCTCACATATATGAACCGGTATGCATGCTAGGTTTGTATTTGAACTATTGCAGTAAATCCGTAAGATGCGTATAGCCGAAATGAGAAATTCAAACTTATTTGACACTAACCTTTCAGTTTTTGAATGGTGTCAACTCTAAATGTCCTACAAATATATTAACAATATCAGTTAGTTTTAGGTCTCTTGATCAGAGATATTAGAAATCATTTTAAACATATATAGTGTGTTTACACTATGATGAACGACGTGACATAACTGAAATACTGTTCAAAGCGGTGTTATATCCAACTCATTCACCCACTTATGCCATTATGACTACGAGTTTGGACCCGTTCCACACAGTGACCTCTGCCCTAACACTTTTGTACGTCATTGTTGGGAGCTGTGGTTGAGGTAGATTTGGGTAACACTTCAATGTAAATATACTAGTCTCTCTTTTGTCTGGTATACATTTCTTTTGTTATCTATACACTTATTTTCTTCACTGTTTTCCCTGTACATGTGTATATGATTTACTGTACAAGCTTTTGTAAATACCATGGAGAGGGACTTCTAAGTTGGATAACTTGTACCCAATCCATTTCAATCTGAATAAAATATGTTTAAACTAAATTAAGGAACAAAATTAATGTGTTAAACGTAAAATCAGATTCTGCCCTTCAGAACGCCCATTCATTTCATGCTGGTTTTCCCCAAACGGTAACGACTCTTCTTTTCTCGGGTCGTTTTCCATGGAGCGTACCCATGGTGTGCTTCTGTTTGGTAGCATGTACCAAGGTATGCTCATGGCGTCCGTCTCATTCTGTGATGGCAATGTACAGTTCGGTTTTTTAATCTGGTACCAGGAATAGCCTCTCGTCTGATTTCTGCGAATAATATCAAACATCCCTGTGATTAACTTTAAGATTATTCCTCACTGGTTGCATACAATACCTCCATACAAGTGACTGCCTTTGGCTCAGTGAGTAAAGTACAATTATGTTATTATGACTGTTGTTGTTCCTCATTGCATATATGACGTTCCCTATCAAACCTAATTATTTGGACCAGGATCTATGAATGGTTAAACTTGACGTTAAAGATATATTTATCAATTCTTTTGATGGGTTGTTTCGGAAACGTCGCCAAAATCTGGGAATCATGCATGTCATTTCCTACTGCACATTTGATCATGTGTAAAATGAATACGACATCACCACGATAAACCTGAACCATTTCCAGAGTTAGTAAATATATATCAAACACGCCAATATCGGGTTAGAGTTGTTTTTAGTTGTGACTGGTCAATGCGTAGTTTAGCACTCAGCATTATTCCAGCTACATTTATATGACGGCGGTCTGTAAATAATCGAACCTGGATCAGACAAACCAGTGAGTGATATTATGAGCCCCAAGTGGACCTTTGCTAACTCGAAATCTCTACAACCGGGGTGATTCAGATACTCTGGCGATCATTTCACTGGGAATCGCAACGGCTTGACATGAATTACATGCACAGGATTTCCATAAACATAAACTTTAATTGAATTTTTGGTGAGAAGTTAAGAAAAATACATAAAACAGATATGAAGACGATATGCTTAGTACATTGTGTATCTGCATAGTGAATTGATGATAATCACAAAAACCTGTCAGTCATCAATATATTTTTTTCAAAACAAACGATTAAAGTTACATAACATACTGGATACAAACAAATAAAACAACATTGAACACGTCTGGAAATGACAAACCAACCTTGTGATGGGGCAATTGGATCTGTCTGTACATGGTCATAAATATTAAAAGTAAAGTCAATTCCCACTTTTGTTCACATGTTCACATGTCTTAGTATTGACGAGTGTCTCCACCATATAAAATAAGACCCGTGAAGATCCGAGGTAGAATAGGTCTTCAGCAACCCATGCATGCCGTAAAAGGGGACTATGCCGTAAGAGGCGACTAAAGGGATTGGTTGGTCAGGCTCGCTGACTTGGTTGATGCACTGGTCTGGTCCAGACTCGATCATGTACAGACCGCCGTCATATAGCTGTAATATTGCTGAGTACGGCGTTAAACCACTAGCAAACACATATCATAATTATAATATGACATGGTTATTCAACGTGTTGTTGATCAGATGAACTGTTTTATTGTACTTCCATCACAAACAAAAACGGAACCATTTGGGTCGTTGATCCCATCCTCTGTTGCAATGAGTTCTCGTACAAACTGGCCAGGTGCGGCAAGCTGAATTATGGTGGTTGTGTCCCTGTCTGCAAGGAGGATATCGCCTTCGTTGGTAGTTGTAATACCACTAGGGTAACTGAGAGATCGATCCCCCTTGTGGACGTATCTCCACACAACATCCCCCTCTGACGTCAGACAAGTTACTGATCCCTTGTCCCAGTCAGAAACAAGAACCTGGCCGCTGTTGTTCACTCAGATGTAGTTTGGGTAACTGAACAGGTCCACGTCATTGTGGGCAGTGATTGATCGCATGGCCTTACCAGTCATGTCTAATATATCAATACAGCTGTAGGAACTTGCTGCGAATGATGACGAGTTCAGAACAGCAATACTGTAGTACTCTTTCTGTGCTGTAATGGTTGTCTCCAGTTCGAGGTCAGGAGTTACGGATGCCGTTACAATTTGAAAACTCTTAGGAACAGCTACCAAAACCCGATTGTCACTTAGTTGGGATACACCATGCGTAAAATTATCAAAATCGAGTTTACTGAGACATGGCTGATCGTCACGTGTGTAGGCAGATTTCACACACTTGTTGTTTCTGTCTGAAGCCACTAATATCAGTATATTCCCCACAAACAGAACCGTCACCTCACTCAGCCATGGACATTTTTCATCAGTCTCTAGCTTGAAGTCCACTGTTTTATACAGGAAAAGTGATGACATGGCATCGTTCTCACCCTGTGTGTATGTGATGTCCAGCTTCCCTAGTTTCATGTCGTCAAGAATGCGCTCACTGGTATCAGATTCTGGTACAAATCTGACGCTATGTATTTGTTTTCGTTCTGATTTGCCTGTTTCTTGTACCTTGTCCTTTTCCGCCCCTGACTCCCAGGCCTGACAAGCTTTATACAGGTCCATGTCACTGTCCGAGACAAGGGTCTGGTCAATGAACTCGCCATGTTGTTTGTACATCTGCAACTCAATCTCTGCCTGTTTCACATCAGCCTGTAACTCAGTGATCTGGGTGTCTGCAATGTCATCCAGTTCTTTTATGAGTGCCGTTTCCTTCTCCTTCAAACGGGCGATGATCTTCTCTGTTGATGACTGAATCTTTTTTGTTGCCAAAAGTTTAGCTCTTTTCATCTTGTTAATTTTCGATTGGGCATTTGTCGATCTGTTTCGATATGTCATTAAGATCTCTTTGTATGGTGAGGCCTTTGGTGCGCAGAGATGACTTCATCCGTGACATCTGGGATTCTAGTGTGACAACAGAATCGCACTTCCTGTGGTAGACCACGGAGCATGACTGACACAGTGGCTTGTTGCAGTCTTTACAGAGATATTTCACTTGCTCATCTCTGTGCTCTTGACACATAACCACTCGTTTCTTTTTCTTCACTTCCACCTCACCAGACCGATCACACATTTCATGGCTCCGAGAAGCTGGATTTGCACGATGCATCTTGACACATCTGTCACAGAGAGCTACCTCACACTCATGGCACCTGAAGGTCATATGAGTTGTCTCCCCAAGCTGTTCACACACAGGACAATTCTGGGAGTTTGTATCTGTATCTGTCAAGAGAATATAGTCTGTAATTATAGAGGGGTTTAACAATCTGTACCATGTCTTTGTTAAACGTATGTATAAACACCTTTTGAGTTACAAAAGGGACACTGGGTGGCTCGGGACAGTTTTACAAGGTTTTTGTTATATCGTTGGTTCGAATCCCAGATTAATCTGATTAGTTGTTTGGTCAGCACCATAGCCTTTCTGGTGGGTTCTGCCAAATTTAATTAGTAAATGTCCAAGACATGCATCATACAAAGCCAGACAATCCGGAATGAAATAGAAATACTGTTCAAAACGGAGTTACACACAAATCACTCAGTTAAGAAAAACCTCGCCGCTCTTCATTATTTTAAGCAAAAGCATACCGATCAAACATGACACGTTTGATTTCACACATGGGGTGTGAGATGTGTTTATGACAGTGATATTACTGCGAAACAGATGTAAGCAGCACATCCCCACTCACTCATTATCACGAGTTCATGTTGATCACTCTGTGCCGTCATGTGGACGGTTAGGTTATCTGGTTGCTAACACGTTCCATCACTCGGTAAACCTCCGGGTTCAAATCTCCAGAAGACCGCCTGCGTGGTCTAGTGGTTAAGCGTCCGCCCGCAGAGCGGAAGGTCCGGGGTTCGATCCCCGGCCGCGTCATACCAAAAGACGTTAAAAGATGGTACTTGTTGTTACCCTGTCTGGTGCTCGGCATTAAGGGGCTCAAACAAGGACAGGTCGGCTCTTAGTCAGTATACTGTGTCTGAGTGGGGTATTTATGTGAAACTGCGGCAGTTGACTAGCACTATGAAATCAGTATTAGCCCGGACTAGTACAAACAGCCACATACACACACGTAAATGCACATTGATCTATAAGAGCGTCGTTTAACCCCATTTCACCTCACCTCACGTTTTGTATCGAGCGTTTTATAAAATATTCTGATCTGTCATATTTTTCCTCTCTCAAAACGAAGATTGTGATGAGGAAGTTAATATTAATTGACATTTAACTTCCTTAATTTCTTAACAGTATAAACTTCAACATTGGCAAAACTAAGGCTATGGATATGATGCACAAGAGACGCTGTGTGAAGCAAACACGCTCCTAAACTGCCTCTATGTGAAAACAACAGGGTAAGTTTAATGATAAACGCACTTAAGATTGTTCATTACTCCTCAGGCGAACTATGTGATAAGTATGCTTGCAGTTGGTTTGAAACAACGTAAGTCCTGGGACATCAGTGTTGCTGAATGTCTACTTGTTATGTCATTGTATTTTTATTGCTTGTGTATACTTATTTTTAAACTCCTTCGGGTTTTAGTTACCTTCATTATTAGTACTGAGCATATTATTTAATACTGGATTTTCCTTTGTATGGATCACACAAGACACTGGTAATGAAAAACTATTTTTCCATACATTTAAACAAAGATTATTTGATATATTTCAGCAAAACTAGCACCAACAAGTTTCCTCTTCACACTTTCTCAAGCATTATGCTAGCATCAAATCAGTATTACAACTAGAAACATATTTAAGTATATTACAAGGTAAAGCTCTAATGAGAGCTCTTTGTAAATTTAGAATATTTCTCCATGAATTCCTTGTCAATAAATATCGTAGAACCAAGGATAGTGATTTTGTAAATTGTATATGTACTTCCTGTACCAACCAGGACATTATCGACGAGTTTCTGCCTGTATTAGTACGGACAAGTTAGAACCAGCCCTGCTAGCTTGCTTCTATTCGCCTGTTTAGACGCATTCACACTGTGAGTTTTACTTCCAACTGTTTATGAAAGCCTTAATGCTTTCGCTTGGCTGATTTTTATCCAGTGTTAAGTTAACAAATCCGTATATATGTCAATGCGCCTAAATGCAGTATATATTATACATATGATGTATTCCTGTGACCAGGTTTGAATCATCTGTCTTTGATGTCATTGGTCCCAAAACGTTTTGAGCAATTAGGATTTGTTAAGGCTGTGTGCATAACGTGTCGCAGCTACAGTGGTGTGTGCATTTCGGAACTATGCCTGTCGCTCACATCATTACCACGTCAAGTCTTCGAACTGGAGATTAAGTTATTTTAAACAATTGCTTGATGATGCTCCTGGACACGACGAGTCCTGACATATGCCTTTGTAGCTGGACCTCACATATATGAACCGGTATGCATGCTAGGTTTGTATTTGAACTATTGCAGTAAATCCGTAAGATGCGTATAGCCGAAATGAGAAATTCAAACTTATTTGACACTAACCTTTCAGTTTTTGAATGGTGTCAACTCTAAATGTCCTACAAATATATTAACAATATCAGTTAGTTTTAGGTCTCTTGATCAGAGATATTAGAAATCATTTTAAACATATATAGTGTGTTTACGCTATGATGAACGACGTGACATAACTGAAATACTGTTCAAAGCGGTGTTATATCCAACTCATTCACCCACTTATGCCATTATGACTACGAGTTTGGACCCGTTCCACACAGTGACCTCTGCCCTAACACTTTTGTACGTCATTGTTGGGAGCTGTGGTTGAGGTAGATTTGGGTAACACTTCAATGTAAATATACTAGTCTCTCTTTTGTCTGGTATACATTTCTTTTGTTATCTATACACTTATTTTCTTCACTGTTTTCCCTGTACATGTGTATATGATTTACTGTACAAGCTTTTGTAAATACCATGGAGAGGGACTTCTAAGTTGGATAACTTGTACCCAATCCATTTCAATCTGAATAAAATATGTTTAAACTAAATTAAGGAACAAAATTAATGTGTTAAACGTAAAATCAGATTCTGCCCTTCAGAACGCCCATTCATTTCATGCTGGTTTTCCCCAAACGGTAACGACTCTTCTTTTCTCGGGTCGTTTTCCATGGAGCGTACCCATGGTGTGCTTCTGTTTGGTAGCATGTACCAAGGTATGCTCATGGCGTCCGTCTCATTCTGTGATGGCAATGTACAGTTCGGTTTTTTAATCTGGTACCAGGAATAGCCTCTCGTCTGATTTCTGCGAATAATATCAAACATCCCTGTGATTAACTTTAAGATTATTCCTCACTGGTTGCATACAATACCTCCATACAAGTGACTGCCTTTGGCTCAGTGAGTAAAGTACAATTATGTTATTATGACTGTTGTTGTTCCTCATTGCATATATGACGTTCCCTATCAAACCTAGTTATTTGGATCAGGATCTATGAATGGTTAAACTTGACGTTAAAGATATATTTATCAATTCTTTTGATGGGTTGTTTCGGAAACGTCGCCAAAATCTGGGAATCATGCATGTCATTTCCTACTGCACATTTGATCATGTGTAAAATGAATACGACATCACCACGATAAACCTGAACCATTTCCAGAGTTAGTAAATATATATCAAACACGCCAATATCGGGTTAGAGTTGTTTTTAGTTGTGACTGGTCAATGCGTAGTTTAGCACTCAGCATTATTCCAGCTACATTTATATGACGGCGGTCTGTAAATAATCGAACCTGGATGAGACAAACCAGTGAGTGATATTATGAGCCCCAAGTGGACCTTTGCTAACTCGAAATCTCTACAACCGGGGTGATTCAGATACTCTGGCGATCATTTCACTGGGAATCGCAACGGCTTGACATGAATTACATGCACAGGATAGGATTTCCATAAACATAAACTTTAATTGAATGTTTGGTGAGAAGTTAAGAAAAATACATAAAACAGATATGAAGACGATATGCTTAGTACATTGTGTATCTGCATAGTGAATTGATGATAATCACAAAAACCTGTCAGTCATCAATATATTTTTTTCAAAACAAACGATTAAAGTTACATAACATACTGGATACAAACAAATAAAACAACATTGAACACATCTGGAAATGACAAACCAACCTTGTGATGGGGCAATTGGATCTGTCTGTACATGGTCATAAATATTAAAAGTAAAGTCAATTCCCACTTTTGTTCACATGTTCACATGTCTTAGTATTGACGAGTGTCTCCACCATATAAAATAAGACCCGTGAAGATCCGAGGTAGAATAGGTCTTCAGCAACCCATGCATGCCGTAAAAGGGGACTATGCCGTAAGAGGCGACTAAAGGGATTGGTTGGTCAGGCTCGCTGACTTGGTTGATGCACTGGTCTGGTCCAGACTCGATCATGTACAGACCGCCGTCATATAGCTGTAATATTGCTGAGTACGGCGTTAAACCACTAGCAAACACATATCATAATTATAATATGACATTGTTATTCAACGTGTTGTTGATCAGATGAACTGTTTTATTGTACTTCCATCACAAACAAAAACGGAACCATTTGGGTCGTTGATCCCATCCTCTGTTGCAATGAGTTCTCGTACAAACTGGCCAGGTGCGGCAAGCTGAATTATGGTGGTTGTGTCCCTGTCTGCAAGGAGGATATCGCCTTCGTTGGTAGTTGTAATACCACTAGGGTAACTGAGAGATCGATCCCCCTTGTGGACGTATCTCCACACAACATCCCCCTCTGACGTCAGACAAGTTACTGATCCCTTGTCCCAGTCAGAAACAAGAACCTGGCCGCTGTTGTTCACTCAGATGTAGTTTGGGTAACTGAACAGGTCCACGTCATTGTGGGCAGTGATTGATCGCATGGCCTTACCAGTCATGTCTAATATATCAATACAGCTGTAGGAACTTGCTGCGAATGATGACGAGTTCAGAACAGCAATACTGTAGTACTCTTTCTGTGCTGTAATGGTTGTCTCCAGTTCGAGGTCAGGAGTTACGGATGCCGTTACAATTTGAAAACTCTTAGGAACAGCTACCAAAACCCGATTGTCACTTAGTTGGGATACACCATGCGTAAAATTATCAAAATCGAGTTTACTGAGACATGGCTGATCGTCACGTGTGTAGGCAGATTTCACACACTTGTTGTTTCTGTCTGAAGCCACTAATATCAGTATATTCCCCACAAACAGAACCGTCACCTCACTCAGCCATGGACATTTTTCATCAGTCTCTAGCTTGAAGTCCACTGTTTTATACAGGAAAAGTGATGACATGGCATCGTTCTCACCCTGTGTGTATGTGATGTCCAGCTTCCCTAGTTTCATGTCGTCAAGAATGCGCTCACTGGTATCAGATTCTGGTACAAATCTGACGCTATGTATTTGTTTTCGTTCTGATTTGCCTGTTTCTTGTACCTTGTCCTTTTCCGCCCCTGACTCCCAGGCCTGACAAGCTTTATACAGGTCCATGTCACTGTCCGAGACAAGGGTCTGGTCAATGAACTCGCCATGTTGTTTGTACATCTGCAACTCAATCTCTGCCTGTTTCACATCAGCCTGTAACTCAGTGATCTGGGTGTCTGCAATGTCATCCAGTTCTTTTATGAGTGCCGTTTCCTTCTCCTTCAAACGGGCGATGATCTTCTCTGTTGATGACTGAATCTTTTTTGTTGCCAAAAGTTTAGCTCTTTTCATCTTGTTAATTTTCGATTGGGCATTTGTCGATCTGTTTCGATATGTCATTAAGATCTCTTTGTATGGTGAGGCCTTTGGTGCGCAGAGATGACTTCATCCGTGACATCTGGGATTCTAGTGTGACAACAGAATCGCACTTCCTGTGGTAGACCACGCAGCATGACTGACACAGTGGCTTGTTGCAGTCTTTACAGAGATATTTCACTTGCTCATCTCTGTGCTCTTGACACATAACCACTCGTTTCTTTTTCTTCACTTCCACCTCACCAGACCGATCACACATTTCATGGCTCCGAGAAGCTGGATTTGCACGATGCATCTTGACACATCTGTCACAGAGAGCTACCTCACACTCATGGCACCAGAAGGTCATATGAGTTGTCTCCCCAAGCTGTTCACACACAGGACAATTCTGGGAGTTTGTATCTGTATCTGTCAAGAGAATATAGTCTGCGAAACAGATGTAAGCAGCACATCCCCACTCACTCATTATCACGAGTTCATGTTGATCACTCTGTGCCGTCATGTGGACGGTTAGGTTATCTGGTTGCTAACACGTTCCATCACTCGGTAAACCTCCGGGTTCAAATCATCAGAAGACCGCCTCCGTGGTCTAGTGGTTAAGCGTCCGCCCGCAGAGCGGAAGGTCCGGGGTTCGATCCCCGGCCGCGTCATACCAAAAGACGTTAAAAGATGGTACTGGTTGTTACCCTGTCTGGTGCTCGGCATTAAGGGGCTCAAACAAGGACAGGTCGGCTCTTAGTCAGTATACTGTGTCTGAGTGGGGTATTTATGTGAAACTGCGGCAGTTGCCTAGCACTATGAAATCAGCATTAGCCCGGACTAGTACAAACAGCCACATACACACACGTAAATGCACATTGATCTATAAGAGCGTCGTTTAACCCCATTTCACCTCACCTCACGTTTTGTATCGAGCGTTTTATAAAATATTCTTATCTGTCATATTTTTCCTCTCTCAAAACGAAGATTGTGATGAGGAAGTTAATATTAATTCAAAAGCCCACATCACATACATTTAACTTCCTTAATTTCTTAACAGTATAAACTTCAACATTGGCAAAACTAAGGCTATGGATATGATGCACAAGAGACGCTGTGTGAAGCAAACACGCTCCTAAACTGCCTCTATGTGAAAACAACAGGGTAAGTTTAATGATAAACGCACTTAAGATTGTTCATTACTCCTCAGGCGAACTATGTGATAAGTATGCTTGCAGTTGGTTTGAAACAACGTAAGTCCTGGAACATCAGTGTTGCTGAATGTCTACTTGTTATGTCATTGTATTTTTATTGCTTGTGTATACTTATTTTTAAACTCCTTCGGGTTTTAGTTACCTTCATTATTAGTACTGAGCATATTATTTAATACTGGATTTTCCTTTGTATGGATCACACAAGACACTGGTAATGAAAAACTATTTTTCCATACATTTAAACAAAGATTATTTGATATATTTCAGCAAAACTAGCACCAACAAGTTTCCTCTTCACACTTTCTCAAGCATTATGCTAGCATCAAATCAGTATTACAACTAGAAACATATTTAAGTATATTACAAGGTAAAGCTCTAATGAGAGCTCTTTGTAAATTTAGAATATTTCTCCATGAATTCCTTGTCAATAAATATCGTAGAACCAAGGATAGTGATTTTGTAAATTGTATATGTACTTCCTGTACCAACCAGGACATTATCGACGAGTTTCTGCCTGTATTAGTACGGACAAGTTAGAACCAGCCCTGCTAGCTTGCTTCTATTCGCCTGTTTAGACGCATTCACACTGTGAGTTTTACTTCCAACTGTTTATGAAAGCCTTAATGCTTTCGCTTGGCTGATTTTTATCCAGTGTTAAGTTAACAAATCCGTATATATGTCAATGCGCCTAAATTGCAATATATATTATACATATGATGTATTCCTGTGACCAGGTTTGAATCATCTGTCTTTGATGTCATTGGTCCCAAAACGTTTTGAGCAATTAGGATTTGTTAAGGCTGTGTGCATAACGTGTCGCAGCTACAGTGGTGTGTGCATTTCGGAACTATGCCTGTCGCTCACATCATTACCACGTCAAGTCTTCGAACTGGAGATTAAGTTATTTTAAACAATTGCTTGATGATGTTCCTGGATACGACGAGTCCTGACATATGCCTTTGTAGCTCGACCTCACATATATGAACCGGTATGCATGCTAGGTTTGTATTTGAACTATTGCAGTAAATCCGTAAGATGCGTATAGCCGAAATGAGAAATTCAAACTTATTTGACACTAACCTTTCAGTTTTTGAATGGTGTCAACTCTAAATGTCCTACAAATATATTAACAATATCAGTTAGTTTTAGGTCTCTTGATCAGAGATATTAGAAATCATTTTAAACATATATAGTGTGTTTACACTATGATGAACGACGTGACATAACTGAAATACTGTTCAAAGCGGTGTTATATCCAACTCATTCACCCACTTATGCCATTATGACTACGAGTTTGGACCCGTTCCACACAGTGACCTCTGCGCTAACACATTTGTACGTCATTGTTGGGAGCTGTGGTTGAGGTAGATTTGGGTAACACTTCAATGTAAATATACTAGTCTCTCTTTTGTCTGGTATACATTTCTTTTGTTATCTATACACTTATTTTCTTCACTGTTTTCCCTGTACATGTGTATATGATTTACTGTACAAGCTTTTGTAAATACCATGGAGAGGGACTTCTAAGTTGGATAACTTGTACCCAATCCATTTCAATCTGAATAAAATATGTTTAAACTAAATTAAGGAACAAAATTAATGTGTTAAACGTAAAATCAGATTCTGCCCTTCAGAACGCCCATTCATTTCATGCTGGTTTTCCCCAAACGGTAACGACTCTTCTTTTCTCGGGTCGTTTTCCATGGAGCGTACCCATGGTGTGCTTCTGTTTGGTAGCATGTACCAAGGTATGCTCATGGCGTCCGTCTCATTCTGTGATGGCAATGTACAGTTCGGTTTTTTAATCTGGTACCAGGAATAGCCTCTCGTCTGATTTCTGCGAATAATATCAAACATCCCTGTGATTAACTTTAAGATTATTCCTCACTGGTTGCATACAATACCTCCATACAAGTGACTGCCTTTGGCTCAGTGAGTAAAGTACAATTATGTTATTATGACTGTTGTTGTTCCTCATTGCATATATGACGTTCCCTATCAAACCTAATTATTTGGATCAGGATCTATGAATGGTTAAACTTGACGTTAAAGATATATTTATCAATTCTTTTGATGGGTTGTTTCGGAAACGTCGCCAAAATCTGGGAATCATGCATGTCATTTCCTACTGCACATTTGATCATGTGTAAAATGAATACGACATCACCACGATAAACCTGAACCATTTCCAGAGTTAGTAAATATATATCAAACACGCCAATATCGGGTTAGAGTTGTTTTTAGTTGTGACTGGTCAATGCGTAGTTTAGCACTCAGCATTATTCCAGCTACATTTTTATGACGGCGGTCTGTAAATAATCGAACCTGGATCAGACAAACCAGTGAGTGATATTATGAGCCCCAAGTGGACCTTTGCTAACTCGAAATCTCTACAACCGGGGTGATTCAGATACTCTGGCGATCATTTCACTGGGAATCGCAACGGCTTGACATGAATTACATGCACAGGATTTCCATAAACATAAACTTTAATTGAATGTTTGGTGAGAAGTTAAGAAAAATACATAAAACAGATATGAAGACGATATGCTTAGTACATTGTGTATCTGCATAGTGAATTGATGATAATCACAAAAACCTGTCAGTCATCAATATATTTTTTTCAAAACAAACGATTAAAGTTACATAACATACTGGATACAAACAAATAAAACAACATTGAACACATCTGGAAATGACAAACCAACCTTGTGATGGGGCAATTGGATCTGTCTGTACATGGTCATAAATATTAAAAGTAAAGTCAATTCCCACTTTTGTTCACATGTTCACATGTCTTAGTATTGACGAGTGTCTCCACCATATAAAATAAGACCCGTGAAGATCCGAGGTAGAATAGGTCTTCAGCAACCCATGCATGCCGTAAAAGGGGACTATGCCGTAAGAGGCGACTAAAGGGATTGGTTGGTCAGGCTCGCTGACTTGGTTGATGCACTGGTCTGGTCCAGACTCGATCATGTACAGACCGCCGTCATATAGCTGTAATATTGCTGAGTACGGCGTTAAACCACTAGCAAACACATATCATAATTATAATATGACATGGTTATTCAACGTGTTGTTGATCAGATGAACTGTTTTATTGTACTTCCATCACAAACAAAAACGGAACCATTTGGGTCGTTGATCCCATCCTCTGTTGCAATGAGTTCTCGTACAAACTGGCCAGGTGCGGCAAGCTGAATTATGGTGGTTGTGTCCCTGTCTGCAAGGAGGATATCGCCTTCGTTGGTAGTTGTAATACCACTAGGGTAACTGAGAGATCGATCCCCCTTGTGGACGTATCTCCACACAACATCCCCCTCTGACGTCAGACAAGTTACTGATCCCTTGTCCCAGTCAGAAACAAGAACCTGGCCGCTGTTGTTCACTCAGATGTAGTTTGGGTAACTGAACAGGTCCACGTCATTGTGGGCAGTGATTGATCGCATGGCCTTACCAGTCATGTCTAATATATCAATACAGCTGTAGGAACTTGCTGGGAATGATGACGAGTTCAGAACAGCAATACTGTAGTACTCTTTCTGTGCTGTAATGGTTGTCTCCAGTTCGAGGTCAGGAGTTACGGATGCCGTTACAATTTGAAAACTCTTAGGAACAGCTACCAAAACCCGATTGTCACTTAGTTGGGATACACCATGCGTAAAATTATCAAAATCGAGTTTACTGAGACATGGCTGATCGTCACGTGTGTAGGCAGATTTCACAAACTTGTTGTTTCTGTCTGAAGCCACTAATATCAGTATATTCCCCACAAACAGAACCGTCACCTCACTCAGCCATGGACATTTTTCATCAGTCTCTAGCTTGAAGTCCACTGTTTTATACAGGAAAAGTGATGACATGGCATCGTTCTCACCCTGTGTGTATGTGATGTCCAGCTTCCCTAGTTTCATGTCGTCAAGAATGCGCTCACTGGTATCAGATTCTGGTACAAATCTGACGCTATGTATTTGTTTTCGTTCTGATTTGCCTGTTTCTTGTACCCTGTCCTTTTCCGCCCCTGACTCCCAGGCCTGACAAGCTTTATACAGGTCCATCTCACTGTCCGAGACAAGGGTCTGGTCAATGAACTCGCCATGCTGTTTGTACATCTGCAACTCAATCTCTGCCTGTTTCACATCAGCCTGTAACTCAGTGATCTGGGTGTCTGCAATGTCATCCAGTTCTTTTATGAGTGCCGTTTCCTTCTCCTTCAAACGGGCGATGATCTTCTCTGTTGATGACTGAATCTTTTTTGTTGCCAAAAGTTTAGCTCTTTTCATCTTGTTAATTTTCGATTGGGCATTTGTCGATCTGTTTCGATATGTCATTAAGATCTCTTTGTATGGTGAGGCCTTTGGTGCGCAGAGATGACTTCATCCGTGACATCTGGGATTCTAGTGTGACAACAGAATCGCACTTCCTGTGGTAGACCACGGAGCATGACTGACATAGTGGCTTGTTGCAGTCTTTACAGAGATATTTCACTTGCTCATCTCTGTGCTCTTGACACATAACCACTCGTTTCTTTTTCTTCACTTCCACCTCACCAGACCGATCACACATTTCATGGCTCCGAGAAGCTGGATTTGCACGATGCATCTTGACACATCTGTCACAGAGAGCTACCTCACACTCATGGCACCTGAAGGTCATATGAGTTGTCTCCCCAAGCTGTTCACACACAGGACAATTCTGGGAGTTTGTATCTGTATCTGTCAAGAGAATATAGTCTGTAATTATAGAGGGGTTTAACAATCTGTACCATGTCTTTGTTAAACGTATGTATAAACACCTTTTGAGTTACAAAAGGGACACTGGGTGGCTCGGGACAGTTTTACAAGGTTTTTGTTATATCGTTGGTTCGAATCCCAGATTAATCTGATTAGTTGTTTGGTCAGCACCATAGCCTTTCTGGTGGGTTCTGCCAAATTTAATTAGTAAATGTCCAAGACATGCATCATACAAAGCCAGACAATCCGGAATGAAATAGAAATACTGTTCAAAACGGAGTTACACACAAATCACTCAGTTAAGAAAAACCTCGCCGCTCTTCATTATTTTAAGCAAAAGCATACCGATCAAACATGACACGTTTGATTTCACACATGGGGTGTGAGATGTGTTTATGACAGTGATATTACTGCGAAACAGATGTAAGCAGCACATCCCCACTCACTCATTATCACGAGTTCATGTTGATCACTCTGTGCCGTCATGTGGACGGTTAGGTTATCTGGTTGCTAACACGTTCCATCACTCGGTAAACCTCCGGGTTCAAATCTCCAGAAGACCGCCTGCGTGGTCTAGTGGTTAAGCGTCCGCCCGCAGAGCGGAAGGTCCGGGGTTCGATCCCCGGCCGCGTCATACCAAAAGACGTTAAAAGATGGTACTTGTTGTTACCCTGTCTGGTGCTCGGCATTAAGGGGCTCAAACAAGGACAGGTCGGCTCTTAGTCAGTATACTGTGTCTGAGTGGGGTATTTATGTGAAACTGCGGCAGTTGACTAGCACTATGAAATCAGCATTAGCCCGGACTAGTACAAACAGCCACATACACACACGTAAATGCACATTGATCTATAAGAGCGTCGTTTAACCCCATTTCACCTCACCTCACGTTTTGTATCGAGCGTTTTATAAAATATTCTTATCTGTCATATTTTTCCTCTCTCAAAACGAAGATTGTGATGAGGAAGTTAATATTAATTCACATTTAACTTCCTTAATTTCTTAACAGTATAAACTTCAACATTGGCAAAACTAAGGCTATGGATATGATGCACAAGAGACGCTGTGTGAAGCAAACACGCTCCTAAACTGCCTCTATGTGAAAACAACAGGGTAAGTTTAATGATAAACGCACTTAAGATTGTTCATTACTCCTCAGGCGAACTATGTGATAAGTATGCTTGCAGTTGGTTTGAAACAACGTAAGTCCTGGGACATCAGTGTTGCTGAATGTCTACTTGTTATGTCATTGTATTTTTATTGCTTGTGTATACTTATTTTTAAACTCCTTCGGGTTTTAGTTACCTTCATTATTAGTACTGAGCATATTATTTAATACTGGATTTTCCTTTGTATGGATCACACAAGACACTGGTAATGAAAAACTATTTTTCCATACATTTAAACAAAGATTATTTGATATATTTCAGCAAAACTAGCACCAACAAGTTTCCTCTTCACACTTTCTCAAGCATTATGCTAGCATCAAATCAGTATTACAACTAGAAACATATTTAAGTATATTACAAGGTAAAGCTCTAATGAGAGCTCTTTGTAAATTTAGAATATTTCTCCATGAATTCCTTGTCAATAAATATCGTAGAACCAAGGATAGTGATTTTGTAAATTGTATATGTACTTCCTGTACCAACCAGGACATTATCGACGAGTTTCTGCCTGTATTAGTACGGACAAGTTAGAACCAGCCCTGCTAGCTTGCTTCTATTCGCCTGTTTAGACGCATTCACACTGTGAGTTTTACTTCCAACTGTTTATGAAAGCCTTAATGCTTTCGCTTGGCTGATTTTTATCCAGTGTTAAGTTAACAAATCCGTATATATGTCAATGCGCCTAAATGCAGTATATATTATACATATGATGTATTCCTGTGACCAGGTTTGAATCATCTGTCTTTGATGTCATTGGTCCCAAAACGTTTTGAGCAATTAGGATTTGTTAAGGCTGTGTGCATAACGTGTCGCAGCTACAGTGGTGTGTGCATTTCGGAACTATGCCTGTCGCTCACATCATTACCACGTCAAGTCTTCGAACTGGAGATTAAGTTATTTTAAACAATTGCTTGATGATGCTCCTGGACACGACGAGTCCTGACATATGCCTTTGTAGCTGGACCTCACATATATGAACCGGTAGGCATGCTAGGTTTGTATTTGAACTATTGCAGTAAATCCGTAAGATGCGTATAGCCGAAATGAGAAATTCAAACTTATTTGACACTAACCTTTCAGTTTTTGAATGGTGTCAACTCTAAATGTCCTACAAATATATTAACAATATCAGTTAGTTTTAGGTCTCTTGATCAGAGATATTAGAAATCATTTTAAACATATATAGTGTGTTTACACTATGATGAACGACGTGACATAACTGAAATACTGTTCAAAGCGGTGTTATATCCAACTCATTCACCCACTTATGCCATTATGACTACGAGTTTGGACCCGTTCCACACAGTGACCTCTGCGCTAACACATTTGTACGTCATTGTTGGGAGCTGTGGTTGAGGTAGATTTGGGTAACACTTTAATGTAAATATACTAGTCTCTCTTTTGTCCGGTGTACGTTTCTTTTGTTATCTATACACTTATTTTCTTCACTGTTTTCCCTGTACATGTGTATATGATTTACTGTACAAGCTTTTGTAAATACCATGGAGAGGGACTTCTAAGTTGGATAACTTGTACCCAATCCATTTCAATCTGAATAAAATATGTTTAAACTAAATTAAGGAACAAAATTAATGTGTTAAACGTAAAATCAGATTCTGCCCTTCAGAACGCCCATTCATTTCATGCTGGTTTTCCCCAAACGGTAACGACTCTTCTTTTCTCGGGTCGTTTTCCATGGAGCGTACCCATGGTGTGCTTCTGTTTGGTAGCATGTACCAAGGTATGCTCATGGCGTCCGTCTCATTCTGTGATGGCAATGTACAGTTCGGTTTTTTAATCTGGTACCAGGAATAGCCTCTCGTCTGATTTCTGCGAATAATATCAAACATCCCTGTGATTAACTTTAAGATTATTCCTCACTGGTTGCATACAATACCTCCATACAAGTGACTGCCTTTGGCTCAGTGAGTAAAGTACAATTATGCTATTATGACTGTTGTTGTTCCGCATTGCATAGATGACGTTCCCTATCAAACCTAATTATTTGGATCAGGATCTATGAATGGTTAAACTTGACGTTAAAGATATATTTATCAATTCTTTTGATGGGTTGTTTCGGAAACGTCGCCAAAATCTGGGAATCATGCATGCCATTTCCTACTGCACATTTGATCATGTGTAAAATGAATACGACATCACCACGATCAACCTGAACCATTTCCAGAGTTGGTAAATATATATCAAACACGCCAATATCGGGTTAGAGTTGTTTGTAGTTGTGACTGGTCAATGCGTAGTTTAGCACTCAGCATTATTCGAGCTACATTTATATGACGGCGGTCTGTAAATAATCGAACCTGGATCAGACAAACCAGTGAGTGATATTATGAGCCCAAAGTGGACCTTTGCTAACTCGAAATCTCTACAACCGGGGTGATTCAGATACTCTGGCGATCATTTCACTGGGAATCGCAACGGCTTGACATGAATTACATGCACAGGATTTCCATAAACATAAACTTTAATTGAATGTTTGGTGAGAAGTTAAGAAAAATACATAAAACAGATATGAAGACGATATGCTTTGTACATTGTGTATCTGCATAGTGAATTGATGATAATCACAAAAACCTGTCAGTCATCAATATATTTTTTTCAAAACAAATGATTAAAGTTACATAACATACTGGATACAAACAAATAAAACAACATTGAACACGTCTGGAAATGACAAACCAACCTTGTGATGGGGCAATTGGATCTGTCTGTACATGGTCATAAATATTAAAAGTAAAGTCAATTCCCACTTTTGTTCACATGTTCACATGTCTTAGTATTGACGAGTGTCTCCACCATATAAAATAAGACCCGTGAAGATCCGAGGTAGAATAGGTCCTCAGCAACCCATGCATGCCGTAAAAGGGGACTATGCCGTAAGAGGCGACTAAAGGGATTGGGTGGTCAGGCTCGCTGACTTGGTTGATGCACTGGATTGTCTGGTCCAGACTCGATCATGTACAGACCGCCGTCATATAGCTGTAATATTGCTGAGTACGGCGTTAAACAACTAACAAACACATATCATAATTATAATATGACATGGTTATTCAAAGTGTTGTTGATCAGATGAACTGTTTTATTGTACTTCCATCACAAACAAAAACGGAACCATTTCTATTGGCATACACCCCAACAGGGTCGTTGATCCCATCCTCTGTTGCAATGAGTTCTCGTACAAACAGGCCAGGTGCGGCAAGCTGAATTATGGTGGTTGTGTCCCTGTCTGCAAGGAGGATATCGCCTTCGTTGGTAGTTGTAATACCACTAGGGTAACTGAGAGATCGATCCCCTTTGGGGACGTATCTCCACACAACATCCCCCTCTGACGTCAGACAAGTTACTGATCCCTTGTCCCAGTCAGAAACAAGAACCTGGCCGCTGTTGTTCACACAGATGTAGTTTGGGTAACTGAACAGGTCCACGTCATTGTGGGCAGTGATTGATCGCATGGCCTTACCAGTCATGTCTAATATATCAATACAGCTGTAGGAACTTGCTGCGAATGATGACGAGTTCAGAACAGCAATACTGTAGAACTCTTTCTGTGTTGTAATGGTTGTCTCCAGTTCGAGGTCAGGAGTTACGGATGCCGTTACAATTTGAAAACTCTTAGGAACAGCTACCAAAACCCGATTGTCACTTAGTTGGGATACACCATGCGTAAAATTATCAAAATCGAGTTTACTGAGACATGGCTGATCGTCACGTGTGTAGGCAGATTTCACACACTTGTTGTTTCTGTCTGAAGCCACTAATGTCGGTATATCCCCCACAAACAGAACCGTCACCTCACTCAGCCATGGACATTTTTCATCAGTCTCTAGCTTGAAGTCCACTGTTTTATACAGGAAAAGTGATGACATGGCATCGTTCTCACCCTGTGTGTATGTGATGTCCAGCTTCCCTAGTTTCAAGTCGTCAAGAATGCGCTCACTGGTATCAGATTCTGGTACAAATCTGACGCTATGTATTAGTTTTCGTTCTGATTTGCCTGTTTCTTGTACCCTGTCCTCTTCTGCCCCCGACTCCCAGGCCTGACAAGCTTCATACAGGTCCATCTCACTGTCCGAGACAAGGGTCTGGTCAATGAACTCGCCATGTTGTTTGTACATCTGCAACTCATTTTCTGCCTGTTTCACATCAGCCTGTAACTCAGTGATCTGTGTGTCTGCAATGTCATCCAGTTCTTTTATGAGTGCCGTTTCCTTCTCCTTCAAACGGGCGATGATCTTCTCTGTTGATGACTGAATCTTTTTTGTTGCCGAAAGTTTACCCCTTTTCATCTTGTTAATTTTCGATTTGCATTTGTCGATCTGTTTCGATATGTCATTAAGATCGCTTTGTATGGTGAGGCCTTTGGTGCGCAGAGATGACTTCATCCGTGACATCTGGGATTCTAGTGTGACAACAGAATCGCATTTCCTGTGGTAGACCACGGAGCATGACTGACACAGTGGCTTGTTGCAGTCTTTACAGAGATATTTCACTTGCTCATCTCTGTGCTCTTGACACATAACCACGCGTTTCTTTTTCTTCACTTCCACCTCACCAGACCGATCACGCAGTTCATGGCTCCGAGAAGCTGGATTTGCACGATGCATCTTGACACATCTGTCACAGAGAGCTACCTCACACTCATGGCACCAGAAGGTCACGGGAGTTGTCTCCCCAAGCTGTTCACACACAGGACAATTCTGGGAGTTTGTATCTGTATCCGTCAAGAGAATATAGTCTGTAATTATAGAGGGGTTTAACAATCTGTACCATGTCTTTGCTAAACGTATGTATAAACACCTTTCGAGTTACAAAAGGGACACTGGGTGGCTCGGGACAGTTTTACAAGGTTTTTGTTATATCGTTGGTTCGAATCCCAGATTAATCTGATTAGTTGTTTGGTCAGCACCATGGGTTCTGCCAAATTTAATTAGTAAATGTCCAAGACCTGCATCATACAAAGCCAGACAATCCGGAATGAAACAGAAATACTGTTCACAACGGAGTTACACACAAATCACTCAGTTACAAAACCCTCGTCGCTCTTCACTTTTTTAAAACAAAAGCATACATGTACCTATCAAACATGACACATGTTTGATTTCACACATGGGGTGTGAGATGTGTTTATGACAGTGATTATGCTGGGAAACAGATGTAAGCAGCACATCCCCACTCACTCATTATCACGAGTTCATGTTGATCACTCTGTGCCGTCATGTGGACGGTTAGGTTATCTGGTGGCTAACACGTTCCATCACTCGATAGATCTCCGGGTTCAAACCCCCAGAAGACCGCCTCCGTGGTCTAGTGGTAGAGCGTCCGCCCGCAGAGCGGAAGGTCCGGGATTCGATGCCCAGCCGCGTCATACCAAAAGACGTTAAAAGATGGTACTTGTTGTTACCCTGCCTTGTGCTCGGCATTAAGGGGCTCAAACAAGGACAGGTCGGCTCTGAGTCCGTATACTGTGTCTGAATGGGATATTCATGTACAACTGTGGCATGGTATCTCAGTGGGTTTGCACTACAAATCGGCATCAGTCCGGACCAGTACAAGCAGCCACACACACACACACACACACACACGCGTTCATGCACGTCGCTATATAAGTGCAATAATCTTGGTAGCGACGTTAAACCCCATTTCACCTCACCACACCTCAAATACCCAGAATGGTTCTACGATATACGAAGCACATTATCTCTAAACCTTTTCAAAAACACGTCACACACTGTACAGAAAACTCAATATAAAAGTATGTAAATAAATGCAAAAACAAAAGTCCCCGTCAGAGAAGAACGAATGTGTTCACATCGCCTTAACTCGTTTGTTTCTTCTGCAGTTACTGGTGATAATTAACTACCTGGTATTTTTTCATGTTCTAGTGTGTCTGTTAGTCCCTGTATGATGATGCTGGGTTTGATCTGCCCCGCCCACTCCTCCACAGGCCGGCTGGGGTGGGGGACCTTGGTATCTTGTCGACAGAAGGCACAGGGGATCGTCTTGGACTTTACAGCATCTGGTCTGGTTTGGATGTATCCAGTGACACATTTCCTGCAGAATGTGTGATCACACCTCAGTGTACAGGGGTCTGTGTATAGTTCCTGGCAGATCCCGCATGTCAGAAATTCTCTCACCTTCTCCATCCCAGCTGTCGCCATATGTGAATTAAAGATTTAAGGTGTAACAAAAAATGTCCATTATGTCCCATTAATTCTCCATTCTGCACTAAAAACTAGTAAATATGAGCTTCATTATGTTAACATATACTATATCTGGTTATCCGGAATGTAAGATAAGGGGGACAGTGAAATATGAAGTACAACTTCTGTGTTTCAGTTATGAACTATAGAATTGTGATGCGCCATGAAATAAACCCACTGATATATGCTGGACTGTTAAAGCTGCTTCATTTGTTACATCCAAACACGTTGGAATAATTCTCCTTGTCTGTGGAATAACTGAAAACAAATATCAGTCCTAACTGATCAGGGATGCCCGCCAGTAACTAGGATATTGAATCGATTAGTTTCAATCTTGTCTCCAAATTCAAAAATGTGTAAGAGGGTATTCTAACTGAGTGGACGAGAAACATTCGATCCTACTGTAAAATATGTGCCTCCTGACACTCATCGTTTCTTATTTCATCCATGAATAAAAAACAAGCTAGTATGTGTTCAACTGAGATCACTCATGTACCGATGTTTACATGTAATATTTGAAATTTCACGATGACGCAACCGTTTAAGATGACATAGACATAGACAGGTATCTGGTCTCATGTTTTCGTTTGAAACCTCTGAAACCTGATACATTTTGGTTCTAGTAGAGATTTAAAGCATGAATGAATAATGATATGTTTCACTTTTCATTTGGATTGTATACTTTTGGCAGACTGATATGCGATTAAAAACACCATTCATATATTGCTATAGAAGACTTTTACTCAGTTTCACAATTAATAATAATATAGTACAAATTAATATTCCACAAAAATTATATTGTTTTAAACTATGTCCAAATACCACGTACAGCTGATCCAGTATACACCCTGTCGATAATGCAGTGACACCGCGATTGCAATGGACTGGTGAACGCGGCTACCGTGATAAGAATGTAGTACAAGTGCTCCAGAAACTTCCGCCTATCTCACCCGGGTTGTAACGGGTTTTTTGCTTGATAAATAAAATACATAATCTTCTTGGCTGATCTTAATATTGTTATATCGAACCTTCAACTCCATATTATCATTGGTCCTCTTCCTGTTGAGACTTTCTAAACAATCTCTTCCTCATGCCCTAAATAGTGTCTTCCGGGTATGCATATTTTATTTTTATTTTCCCATTAAGCCTTATCGGCATGTTACAGATATAACCAGCCGTTCAACTAACTCAGCAAACAACCTTATCTACCGATGGTTACAACTTACTGTTATTTTGAGCAGGACCTGTGTTTATCGTGCCTGGCGAATGTGTGAGTGACGCCTCCTCGCAGCCATATTTGAAGGGAGGTAACTACTATATGACTGCTGTGAGATATACATTGGTGACAGGGGAGATTTGTACCCACCTTTAGGTACACAGATCGAACCTCCCTTGTACTGGTGTGGTTGTACAAAACATACGTTTATATTGTTTTTTTGTAAAGTTAGAATGTCACAAACTTGTGAGGATCGGTGCTCATGATATCAATCACTGGATTGTCTGGGCCAGACTCGATTATTTACAGACCGCCGTCATATAGCTGGAATACTGCTGAGTGCGACGTTAACAACAAACCAACCAACCAACCAATTACGTATATCGGTGCATATATATTGTATGTCAATGACTGTCTTGTCTGGTCCAGACTCGATCACTTGCAGACCGCCGTCATGTAGCTGGACTATTGCTGAGAACGGCGTTAAAAAACAAACAAATTTAAGTAGTCTTGTATATAACAAATTGTATTAGAAATATTCCCCGGACTGACAAACGTTTCAATGTAGCTCTGTGTTACACTCAAGTATGAGTGTATGTTGGATGGTTAGTGGAGGGGTGGATGTGGCCAAATAAAGGTCAAACCCAACGAAGAGAGAGATGTATCACTATTGATGTTAAATGACGATATGTCGACTTTATTTCTTAGAACAGCTGAATCCAGAGTGTTACATAACTTTTAACAGTACTGGTTACACATGTGAAACAAGGAACATAGACGTTTAATGAAATCCTTCCTGCTTTTAAACCTTTTCTCGTGACACAGGGGCGACATTTTGAAACTGAACGTCTTCTTAACAGTATGTAAATAATGAATATCTGGCTATATCTGCCTTTTCTTTAACAGATATATACGGACACTACTTTTGGAACTAGTCCTGTGACGAACAACATACTTCTGAAGGTAAGACCTATGTTTGCCTCCGGTAACAATGCAAAAGAGAGTCAATTTATCTCTGCTTTCATGAAGTGACAGCATTGGATGTAGAATGTTTCTGTACGTATTACAGTAAACTACGTTTATAACGAACACGCTTATAACGAACTGGCCGGCCATGTGTTGCATATAAGCTGTATACATGTATATGCTTATAACGAACTACGGTTATTACGAACTAAAATTAGTGGTACCTTTGAGTTCGTTCTAACCGTAGTTTACTGTAATACTATATAGCGAGTTGCGTATGAGGCACATATGTTCAAGTTGGTTGGTGAATCAAATGCGATTTTATTCTGAATGTGCAACTGTTATCCTTCTATAGGGGGCAGTCGGGTAGCCTAATAGTTAAAGCGTTCGCTCGTCACGCCGAAGACCCGGGTTCGGATCCCGATATGGGTACAATGTGTGAAGCACATTTCTGGTGTCCCTCACCGTGATATTGCTGGAATGTTGCTAAAAGCGGCGTAAAACCATACTCACTCACTCACTAAAAAAATCTTTATGATTCAAAGTTAAGTGTTCCTTCGAAGATTCGATGATAAAACATCGAATGTGTAAGGGTATACGAGTGGTGCAAGGCTATAGGCTATAAGCTGTTCACTGCAGTCTACGCATAGGTGTGTAACGTGTTGATTCCCAAATTGAAACGCGTATATAAATACAGGTACTTACAGAACCGACCCGTGAAGATCCGGGGTAGAATTGATCTTCAGCAACCCATGCTTGCCGTAAAAGGCGACTCTGCTTGTCGTAAAAGGCGACTAACGGGATCGGGTGGTCAGGCTCGCTGACTTGGTTGATGCATGTCATCCATCCCAATTGCGTGGGTCGATGCTCATGATATCAATCACTGGATTGTCTGGTCCAGACTCGATTATTTACAGACCTCCGCCATATAGCTGGAATATTGCTGAGTGCAGCGTTAAACAACGAACCAACAACAACAACAACTTACAGAACCTATCAGTAACTACTCACAAAAGATCGATGAACAATCCACAAGACAAAAATACACAGGATTATTTTTACAGTCATAATGCGACGTTAAACAACAAATAAACAAACTTACAACAACAAAAAATTCAGACACTAATAAGACACTCATTTGACACATCTAAAAGTGACCCGTGAAGATCCTGGTTAGAAAAGGTCTTCCTCAACCCTGCTTGCCGTATAACAGGCGACTGTGCTTGTCGTAAGAAACGACTAACAGGATCGGGTGGCAAGGCTCGCTGACTTGGTTGATGCATGTCGTTGATGCATATCATCGTTTGTCCTCGTATCCGTATTGATTGATGGTCTGGTCCAGACTCAATTTTTTACAGACCGCCGTCCTGTGGCTGAAATTTTGCTGTGTGCGACGTTAAACAACAAACAAACAAACAAACACATCTGAATGTCGAATGAGGCACGTGCTTAGTTCGTGAATCCGCTCATGAATACATAAACAGAATAATCATAATCAACTGGTCCTTTTTCAATATTGCTTCAAAATCATTTGTAAGAACATCTAATCAGTTAAAAAAATATTTTAAAATGTGGACGTTTACCACTTCGGTGAAACCCACGAGCACGGGTATGGTGCTGACAAAAGAGAAACATAATCGGGGCGAACCGGGATTCCAACCCAAAGTCATAGGTTTCTGGCGCGCCCAAAGGACGCAACTCTGCAAAGCGAATCGCGTCGCATTAGACGACTTAGCCACTCGTGCCCCCTTCCTGATTTATGAAACTCGTCGGACGTGAGTTTTCATTTTTGTGTGTAAACACAGTCAATCTATATACGCTGTTAAAAAAAGTCATTCGTAATATTTTAGTTCTTGTTTCAACATCAAAAGTGAATGTATTTACAAATTTATATTACTGTGAAATAAGTCCGTCTCAGGAAAACGAAACTGGAGGAATATGTCGCTGGCGTGATCAACACGAATGTTGTTTTGCCTAAAACGCGGATGTAACTGTAGTCTGGGGCAAGTAAGAGCACGGATGCGAGGTCGCCTCTATGTAGAAATATCAAAGGCTACGCGTCAGATACATTCCTATGTGTACTGTTTCCATCCGTCCCGATGATCATTTCTAAGGGTATAACAAATTGAAAAACACACCAGTGAGAGGTTAGAAAGCTTCAGTTCCAATCTTGTTTATGCCTTCTAAACTAGAATGTTTGCGTACTTTGAAACATATTGAAACAAGTAGGTATTTGGGATGAATGAATTGTTAAAGAAATTTATTGCAAACAATGATACAAATTATTCCAGATGTATCACATTCTGTCGCTGAAAGCACATTAACTGTCAAAGTGTATTGTTCATACAGGTAATATGAATACATTTACGAGTACAACTTTTGAAAGATGACTTAATGATGAAACTTCATTTGCAGGAAATGGAGGGACTCCTAGTATTCACAATGACAATGACGATTTGGTCAGTGATGATGCATAACATCAGTGAAGACGAAGGATGCAGAAAGGTAAACGTAACAATGAGAAGATGCCCAGTATTCGACTGCTCACACAGGCATCTGAAGCCAATACCACAGTCTCTTCCCAATGACACCTGTGGACTTCTTCTCCGACGGAACGGGATAAAAGTGTTACGCTCAGGTTGCCTCAAACGATACCGAATGTTAACCCTCTTGGATTTATCGCAGAACAAGATTCGGGAAATTCAGGAAGGAGCTTTTGACGGAGCTGATGAGCTACTGACACTGTTTTTACACGACAATGCTCTGCATTTTTCAAATTCTTTTGACAAGATATTTAAACCTCTTAGAAAACTAGAAAAACTAAGTCTTCATAAGAACAAGTTGTTGGACTATGCTGATCAAGTGTTAAGCGAACTAATTTCTTTGCAACATTTAGAAATGGATGGAATAAAAAACGGATCCTTTGGCACTGGATATTTGAATCTCTCACTACTCCATAACCTGACGTTATCTGGTATCTCTGGTAGATGCAACATTCAATGGGTAACTAATGACACTTTCAGGAATGTAATATATTTACGAAAACTTAACGTTTCATTTTGCAACATAACCACAGTTGCAGCGGGTGCACTCACACCCTTGAAGGGCCTAACAACGTTCGACATATCTGGAAATGATGCCTTAAAACAAGCAGGTCTTGAAAACATTACATATGGCTTAAAGGACTCATTCATTCGACGGCTTTTTGTCAATAACATATTGGATTCCCGAACGACTTGCAACTTGATTCAAACTAAACACATAAGGTATCTTCAAAATACATCATTATTGGAAATCCATGCAAATGGTAATGGTCTTTCAGGATTTGGTGACAAAACGCTTGAAGTATTGCCAACATCACTAAAACGTGCTTTCCTGCTATGTAATCGTTTTTCCTATGGCCCTTACGTTCATGACCTTCAAAATCTGACTGGGCTCCAATTGTTGATATTGAATGGTAAACCTGTAAACTATCACATAATTACCTACAGCAGATTTTCGGCGCATAGAGCAATGTACAAGAATTATATGCTTAGCGTATCCAATGTGAATACGATACAACAAGAATGTGCTAATACCTCTGAGAGTGCCCATCGTCATGAGGACGGGTTTCTTCAAACCTTGCCCTCAGGATTTCAACGTTTAAGAACCGGTCATATGTGTTTCCTTCCTGTCCCACCAAATTTGACAAAAGTTGAATACACATATTCCGAACTGTCATTCTGTATTTCAGAGATTCACTTTGGAGAAAATAACTTAAATTTGATCGACTTGTCAAGTAATGTCCTGACAATATGGCAGGGCCCCTTATATGGCCTCCACAAATTAACTCATTTGAACCTTTCAAACAACATTGCGAATTTTGTCTCTAAATACTTTTTTTCAGAATTATACCAACTCACACACCTAGATATATCTTTAAATTACTTAGAAAAAAGTATTTCGACGGATTCCGAAGGAGAATTGTTTGAAAATTTAACCAGATTGCAATTCCTGAATTTGAGCCGTAACCAAATTAGTTTTGTACCAAAGCAATTGTTTCGAGGACTGCAGTCATTGAGAATTTTAGATCTGTCTCAGAATAGAATCAGCAATCTGTCATTTACATGTAGTTCTGTTGTTACTATGCAGCTTAGTGACCTCTTCTTAAGCCAAAACGAAATAAGAGTAATAAACTCTCATGATTTGGCATTAATTGACAGAATAGCTACAAATCACAAGTTTAGCATAGACCTATCACAAAATCCATTTTCATGTGTTTGTGAACTGATTCCCTTCCTTAATTGGCTTGGTACTACGTCAGTGCATAAACATAATTTTGCCAGTTATAATTGTACATTTAAAGGCTCCAACCTGAACATAGAAATGCATCGAGCTGACATTGTACACAAATTAACTGAGACATGTGGGAAATATTTCAGTCTTGTAATTAGTGTCCTTCTGTTTTTCTTTTTAAGCTTAATAATGATATTTTCAGCAGTAGTATATCGTTATCGGTGGAAACTTTCTTATTTGTATTATGCAACCAGATTACGGTTCAAAGCAGATAAAACCGTTCAACTTGATTATGACTATGATGCATTTGTATCGTTTGCTGAGGAGGACAGATCTTTTGTTCTTGAGGAATTAGTGCCAATGTTGGAGACAGAGAAGGGATTACATTTGAACATTCACTGTAGGGATTTTCTACCAGGACATCCTATTGCCGAGAATATCATTGATGCCATTCAGAGAAGCCGGAAGACAGTTCTGGTACTGACCCCGGAGTTCCTGGCGAGCACCTGGTGTAGGTATGAGCTGCGGATGGCCAATATGGAAAGTGTTACAGTTGATAGAGATGTGACGGTGATTCTTCTGATAAGACACATTCCAAAAAGTGACATTCCACCTGAAATCCACTACCATTTACACAATAACACGTACCTAGAATACCCGGATGATGGACAGACTGACATATTCTGGACGACTTTGGCACATTCGATCTCAACCACTTGAAGTGCTTTAAGCACACAGTGCATGCTAATCACTTACATTATATGGTGCAGCAGTGTCACTCAATGTACATGTTAGCGCGTAACACCATCTGTACCCCTAGTGATACTGCTACAATGAATCTATCTTGTCGACATGTTTCAATCTACCATTGTAAACATATTAAAATGATGGAAAAACAGCTGTTCGATTGAGCTGAGGTTAAGTTTGTCACGTGACTTTCAATGACTCGTAGTGAAAGAGATGCATTGTCCTGCTCAGAAATCCACGTGCAGTCTGTTTTCTTCGTGGCCTGGTATAGGGTATTTATTCACACGCTCAGAAAACTACGTGCAGTCTATATTCTTCGTGGTGGAGTATGTAGTATTTATTCTCCCTCTCAGAAATCCACATTCAGTCTGTTTTAGGCATAAGGTTTTTACTCGCAGCTCAGAAATAAATTTCCCTCCCAGCGGGATACGTTATCCTATTTTATCAAGTTCACGTGAACCAATCAGATCTCAACATTCTAACATGAGTGTAAGATAAGGTTAGCTTTTGCATACCGAATTTATCAAGTGTTATTACTTTACTTCATTTCATATATATATATATATATATATATATATATATATATATATTCACACACACACATACATATATATATATATATATATATATATATATATATATAGGTGTGTATGTGTGTGCGTGTGTATGTGTGTATATATACAGACATACTTATGAATTAAAGAAATAACACTTGATAAATTTATTTCATATATATATGTGTATAGATATAGATGAATATATATATATATATATATATGTATATATATATGCATATATATATATATGTGTGTGTGTGTGTGTGTACAACCTATCTAGTTCCATTTCCCTATGTGCATGTATGTATATATATATATGTGTGTGTGTGTTTTTGTGTCTGTGTGTGTGTTTGTTTTTGTGTTAATATGCACTGCATGTGTATAATCAGCCTTTTAACAAGTAGTTACGTGTATATAGCTTGAAAGTCTTCTGCATGGATAGGTTTTATACTGAAATAAATAACTATCTTTTTATTTCATGTACTTGCCGTTCTTGTTTTCCTTCCATTGAATGAATTATTGATACTTTTTACTGAGAGAGACGTATATTTCATGACGACTAACGGGATCGGGAGGCTTTGTTGATGCATGTCATCGTATCCCAATTGCGTGGATCGATTTTCATGATGTCAATCACAGGATTGTCTGGCCAAGACTCGATTATTTACTGACCGCCGTCACATAGTTGGAATATTGCTGAATGATGCGCTAAACAACAAACAAACACACAAACAAACTACTCTACCACAACACCAGTGGCAACACTTACTAACAAATGTCCATGTCACTTTGTCAGTATCTGTTTCCGGTTTCAGCTATTTAATACATATTTCATATCATATACACGCGTCTAGTTCTTTTGTACTTTGTATACTGACTGATCTTCCCAGCAAACAGTGAATGTTAGTTAGTTTAACCCTAACGGCACCCCCATCAAAAGTCGGGGAAGTTACACATATATTGTACAGTTTGGATCATGTAACCCTCGTCTTGTAAGGTCCTGTGGTAAAGTTTGTTTGTTGTTTAACGCCGCACTCAAAATTCCAGCTATGTGACGGCGGTCTGTAAATAATCGATACTGGACGAGACCATGTTGTTGACAATGTGTGTTGTTCAGTTCTTTGAGAGAACGAAGTCCATGCATTTGGAATCTAAATTCGCTGAACGAACTGTTTTCAGCTTCCTATGAGACATGGTAACTCTATACACGATTTGTGTTTACTTTCTCCATCTTCAAAAAACTAGATGTTCGCAATGGTTAACGGGATTTATAGACAAATACAAGCGACAAAACTCTTTCCATAAACATAAGAAATGTCTGCAGAAACAATATAAGCGACGACGTGTCTATGCAAAACTACGAAATAGTAATGATACCAGGTGTTCGCGAAAAGGTGAACTCACATACCCCGCCGGTAGCACCCTTCGCACAGACATGCAAAGGTAAGTTCATTGTTCACCTGAATAAACACGGGAAGACGTTCCCTATACGTTTACCAGAAAACGCTTTGAAAGTTTACAAAGTGCTTGAATGTGAAATGTAGACACCAAAGGATGGTGCTGTTGGAATATTGTTCGACATAAAGCGAATGTTTACTTTTGGAAAGATTTGAAGTAATCTCTCTTTTCATACAGTCTTGTGAGTAGATTCTGATAGATACTCTGAATTTTCATGCATAGATCTAAATATGAAAGCGATAAGGTGGTTTCACTGGCATTTTTATTCCTAGCTCAGGTAGATAAATCAGTGACAGAGAATTAGTATCGTAGGCAGTTTGGCAGGGTATAGGTTTTAACAGGGAATTTATATATGTCTTATATATTCCCTGAGTTAAATAAGTTACATATATATAGATAAATATTCACATCGTTGCCCAAATCAAATTATAACAGCAGCTGGGCTATTATTACTATGGCCAACATCACGGAGTCATGTGCAGGTCAGTGGCTCCTAATTAGTGCCAGAGAATGGCCGGTTGGCCACTGAAGCTTGACATTGTGTATGGGGTGCGGGATACTGCAAGCTGACCAGAGAGGTATCGTATTCGATATGTGGCAGCTGGTCAGTGATTTAACGAGATAAAATTAGAATACTTTCGGTTGGTCGGGACTTGACCCTCGGCCAGCGGCTAGGCAGGTTGGCTCTCTTACGCCTCAGAGATCCTGCTTGGCCATACTACTATGTAGTTATAAAGACATATTAAGATCACGAATAAACGTTGTGTACCCACAGACGGACTTGTGTGTTGTCATAAGAGAAATATCCGGTAGAGCACCAACGTCTACCTAGGATATTAGCTATTATTGAACAATATCAGATCATCGGTTTTCCCTGAATGCTGAAGAAATCTTGATGTATAGTTACTTTAAGATTGCAAACGAGTAATTCTCATTAAGTTATTGTTGGCGATGGGGTAGTTTAGCCTGGGTTCGATTCTATAAAATCACACACCAAGTACTTCAGGTTATCCAATCATACAGGCACATTGTTCAGTAAATATAAAATAAGACTTGTTGATCTCTTTAACCCTCTGTGCATCAATGAAACATTGCTACGAATGTCCTACATATTTACCTCAAGCATGACTCTTTTAAACCATTTTCATTTGAAATATGAATATGCATGATAATCTTAAAGATGTATAAACGTTTTTCAACTTCAAAAGGTACCAATACCTGCTTTACTGTGTCTGAATACATATCAAACTGTATGTATACTCTCCAAATAATAAACAGCATGTTTCATACTTGATTTGTCCTCTCTTTAAGTATATGTTCTTGAATTCACCAGTCCATACACACTACACTATTTCCACACCTCTTCTAGGTATTGACCCAGCGTTGTATTTAATCACTTGCAACAAGGGCCAACTAATTGCTAGTTGAAAGCTTGTGTTGTATGTGAAATCCCTTTTCCATATTCATAAGAAATCTCTGGCAAAATAGGGTCGACTGTACCATTCCTGCTATATCATGAGCATGTGTTTATTAATCACTATAAGATAATGATGATACCAGGTATTCCCGAAAAGGTGGGCGTATTATGCCCCACCGGGGGAGCCGCCAGAAACACATATAAATGCAAGTCAACTGTCTGTGTGTAAGTCAAAACAGAATTGTATCGGACATCATATTTGGCAGTAATGCGTAAGATTTGGAAATGTCCTCAACATGCCTACCATATATAAAACATTCAGTAACCTTGATCAAACAACTCGAAAGGTGTGATTTGTGGACATCTGGAATATTGCTCGACATAAAGTGGAAGCTGACTGTTGGGAGGTAGAAGATATCCTCTTGTCATAGGGGGGCACAATTGGTGCCCATAGGGGTGCCAACTTTATGCCGAAATGGCTTAAATACCCTCTTATGGTAATATACTTTTAGATTTACAATGTCAGCTGAATCAGGAGATCAGTGGCATGCAGACGATTAGAAATCTTCTGCTCAGTAAAGTGAATTTCAATGGCCTGGCACAAGAAAACAGCCGTGCTACTGCATTAAAGCAAGAGTAAAGAGCTTATGTATTATTGTGGAAAAAGAAAATCATTCATGGTCATAGTTTGCCTGGTCAAGACCTGATTATTAACAGGGCGTTATGATGTAGCGTGAATAGTGCAGATTGTGGCGTTTGAACCGTAATTTCCTTTTCTCTCTCTCGAAACAACTCGACTGAACTTCCTAATCACATGTTTCACATTTGCACAAATTACCCTTTGTTACAGCTGCACTGTACGATTTTCATTCTCCTGTTCTCCCTGTACGCTATACTTTTCGAAAAGCCCACTAAAAAGGAGATCGCTGGCTGCTCATGAGTCGTCTTGTCCTGACAGCATCAGACATTGAGCGGACTGGGTTATTTGAAAGACAAAGTCCTGAAGCAAAATACGCTTATTTCTAATGTACGAATGGCAACACTTTTGGTCTTTGATGTACAACTTGATTGATCCATTAACACTGACTTTAATCCCAAGTTTCATTAAAAGTCTGAGGTACTGACAACCTCAAATATATTGCAAGAATGAACAATACAACGTTAACATGCTCCGGTAAAGCATGTTTGTCTCGTACCTCTGCCCACCTGGTCATGATTGTCGACAATGACAAGGAAGTGTCTTTGTCTGCTATGTGTAAGGTGATATCATTCATCGGATACAATAAGTACAGGTTATTCATAAACATTCAAACTAAATACAGATAGCTGCTTCACTTAACCGATTGCTACCAATAAATTGTTCTTGGCTGAAACAGTACTGACTGATATGATTAATAATAGTCTCCTCATTAACATTTTATGTAAATGTCTACGAATCTGTAACCGTCGTACATATTCTGATGGATGCCATGATTTGTTGGTTGGTTTATTGTTTAACGCCGCACTCAGCAATATTACAGCTATATGACGGCGGTCTGTAAATAATCGAGTCTGAACCAGACATTCCAGTGATTGATATCATGAGCATCAATCCACACAATTTGGATTGATAACATGCATCAACCAAGTCAGCAAACCTAACCACCCGATCCCGTTAGTCGCCTCTTACGACAAGCATAGTCGCCTTTTACGGCAAGTATAGGTGCCATGAAGCGTTGGCTCAAAGTACACCTGCTATTAATAATTACCTTCTTCAGCACTGCGTTTTCTCCTCTTGAGCCCCAAACATACACAATAACGTGGAGGTGCACCATTTTATTGATACAACAGTACAAGGAACATTTCACATGTAAGCGGATAATATATACAACGTTCTTGTACACAAAAACAGGTTGCCATAAACACTCATGCAACATAAAAATGTAAGTAAGGGTAAGTTAGTGAGTGGGCGAGTGAGTATGGTTTTACGTCGCTTTCAGCAATATTCCAGCAATATCACGGCGGGGGGACACCAGAAATTGTACCCATGTCGGGAATCCAACCTGGGAAGTAAGGGTAAGATATATATGGATAAACAACTTTTTTATGGTTGGTAACCATGTGCGAACCTACACCGAAACGTCGATCCTAGT